GGTGAAATTCATTACAAAAATGCAAGATTTGTTGATTACTGAGAAACTTATTAGTATCATATACTACCGTGTTTCCTCGAAAATAAGACCTAACTGGAAAATAAGCCCTAGCATGATTTTTCAGGATGCTCGTAATATAAGCCCTACCCCAAACATAAGCCCCAGTTAAGATTTTCAGCCAGACATGACTGTTTGAATAAATGTAGAATGTTGGAGCAAAAATTAATGTAAGACCCAGTCTTATTTTCGGGGAAACATGGTATATTAATAAACCAGAGGAAAAGAATCATGATTCTCTTCATAGATGTTCAGAGAACTCTGACAAAATTCAATACCTATTCACGGTAAAACATCCAATGATATAGAATACCTTCTCAATATGATAAAACAAATATATACCTTAGTTCCCAAAGAGATTATGTTAACTAATGGAAAAACAATAGGGACATTACCCCTAGGACAAGGCAAGGATGCCCATTATCTCTGCCACTATTTACCACGGTACTAGAGATATCAGCCAAACAGACAAGCAAAAACAATTAGAGGTGTTAAGAATTGGCAAACAAGTAAAGCTATCTCAATTTGCAGAAAATGCCTGGAAAACCACAAAAAAGCAATAATAAATATAAAAAAAAAAAGAATTCAGTGAAATCGCAAGTTATAAAATTAAGATACAAAATTAGTAGCTTTAATATACATAAAGTGAAGACATAATGGCACAGAAATTCTCATTTACAATAAAGGATTAAATACTTATGGAAAACAACAAAAACTTTTTATAAGGAAAATTTTTAAACATTCATGACAAACACTAAAGTAGACAAACAAATGGAAAGACATCCCCGTTCTTAGATAAGACAACTTAACATTATAGAGCTGTTAGTTCTCCCCAAGTTAACTTATAAATTCAAGGCAATGCCAATAAAAACACCAACAAGCTAATTTTATGGAGTTGGACAAGATAATAGAAAGTGCATATAAACAAACAAACAAACATGAATACCTAGAGAAACACTGAAAAACCATGAGGGGGAACTAGTCTACTCAGGCTTTAAAACTTATTACAGCCTCTTAAAATTTAAACACTATGTTGATGATAGCTATTCTAACTGGTGTGAGGTGATATCTCATTGTGGTTTTTATTCGCATTTCTGTGCTATCATCAACAAGACAAATAAGTGTTGGAGAGGCTGTGGAGAAAAAGGAACCCTCATACATTTGTTAGTGGGAATGTAAATTGGTATACCCGTTATGGAACGCAGTGTGGAGGTTCCTCAAAAAATTAAGAATAGAATTACCACATGACCCAGCAATCCCTCTCCTGAATATCTACCCCCCAAATAAATAAATATCAAAAAAACATTGATCCGTAAAGATATATGTGCTCCAATGTTCACTGCAGCTTTACTTACAGTGGGCAACACATGGAAACAAACAAATTGTCCTTTGACAGACAACTGGATAAAGATGATGTGGTGTATATACACAGTGGAATACTATTCTGCCCTAAGAAAAGATGATATAGTGCCATTTGTGACAACATGGATAGATCTTGAAATTATGCTATGTGAAATAAGTCAGACAAAGTCGAGAACCATATGATTTCACTGATATGTGAGATATAAAACTGAAAGCAACAAAGGAACAAGACAAACAAAGAAACAAAAACTCATAGACAGGAGACAATAGTTTAGTAGTTACCAGAGGGTAAGGGGGGAGGGAGGTGGTAGATGAGGGTAAATGGGATCAAATATACGGTGATGGAAGGAGAATTCTGGGTGGTGAACACACAATGTGATATACAGATAATGCATTACAGAACCGTACATTTGAAACCTATGTAACTTTACTAACCACTGTCACCCCAATAAACTTTAATTTAAAAAAAAATTTAAAGACTGTGGCATGATGTATGAACACATAGACCAATGGAATAAAGTTCAGAATTAGGCCAAATACATACAGAATTTCAGCATATGACAATGGTGACATCTCAAATCCCTGGGGCAAAGATGTACTTTTTAAATAATTGGTCTGGGTCAATGTGGAAAAAACAAAACTTAATCCTACCTCATACAATACACAAAAAATCAATTCCAGGTGGACTGTAGATCTAAACATGTATACTAAAACAATAAAACTTGAAGAAAATGTAGAATATCTTCTTGCTTTCAAAGTAGTTAAATAGCTCTTACTCAGGAACAGAAGAGTACTGTACATAAAGATTAGATGGCATTAAAATTATGAACTCATTTAATAAAAAAATACCAATTAAAACACCGAAGAAACAAATCACAGAGTGGGACAAAATATTTACAAAACATACCCACCCACAGGGCTCACATCTGGAATACATTAACCAATAAGAAAAAGGCAGGCAACTTTAGTGCAATCTTATTCAACTCAATAAAAGCTTCTTGGAAAACAAATTTGCACAACCACTTTGGAAAACTGGCATCATCTATGAAAAATAAGCACACGCATCCCATACAACCCAGCAATTTCAGTCCAGGCTACACATCCAAGAGAAATACATATACTCGTGCATTATCAGAAATATTAAAATAGCTCACAGCAGCATTATTCACAATAGCCCCAAGCTGAAAAGTCAAATGTCCATCAACATAAATTGCTTAAACAATTTGTGGAATATTCAAATAATGGAACCCAGTAAAATGTATTAGCTAGTGATACTTAAAACAATATGGATCAGTTTCACAAAAATATTAGGGAAAATTAAGACACACAAAAGAACATATACTGTGTGGTTCCATTTGTATAGGGTTAAGAAACAAAAATCCCAAGCCATGTCAGTTAGAATATTGGTCACCTGTAGAGAAAAGGGAAGGGTTTGTCATTTGGATAAGACAAGAAGAGGTATCAGGGATGCTGGTAACACTTCTTCTTGCCTCACTACATGTATGTGTTCATGTGATCATTTAACTGTACATGTATGAATTAAGCACTTCTGCATTTTAGCAAAACCTGTTTTAATGTTACCACACATACACGAAGTGTCATAATACAAGTACTGTAGAAATTACTTTGGGGGCCGGCCGAGTGGTGCGTTGGTTACGAGTTGGCTTGGAAGGGCCGGCAGAGTGGCTCAGTTGGTTAAGAGCTCGCTCAAGAGTGCGAGCTCTGAGCAACAGCAGTTCAAGTCCCAGCCCGAGCTGAGCTGCCAACAGGTGGCAGGATGACTCAGCTGAAAAAAAAGTTGGCTTGGAATGCCAGCTCTGAGCAGTGGGGCCCCGGTTCGGATCCCACATTAGGGCCAGTGAGGGTGTGCCCTCTACAGCTAAGATGGTGAACAACAGCTTGACCTAGAGCTGGGCTGCCATGGGTCACCGGCGACGGCGTAGGCTGCAGTGGGGCTGGCTGGCAGCTGGCGTGAGCTTTCATGAGCTGCCGTCCAATAGCCGGTGAGCGACTGCCTCACCCGGGAAGACTGCAAATGATAATGCCAACATGGGCTAGTGAAACAACATCTTCTACAACTAGACTGAAGAAAAGGACAGCAACTTGTCTGTTCCCCTTCCCCGATTCCCCAACGCTGTTCCCCTCCCCCAATTCCCCAATAAAAATCTTTAAAAAAAAATGACTTTGGCATTATACTGATAAATACAACATGCACAGACCTTACAACCCAGCAATTTCACACTCCTGGAATAACTCACCAATCCTCCAGAGGGTATGTATAAAATTTCTTAAAGCAGCATTGTTCATAACTAGGGAAAAAGCGGTCCAGTAACTAACTGTACATCAGCAGTAGAAAAGTTAAATAAGTTGTGGAATAATAAAACCAAGAATCACTATCTGGTGAAAAAGAAACTATGGCTAAGAGTCATCAACGTGACTCTCAAACCACCACCACTATTGTAGTAATAATCTGACCACCATTTTATCTAACTTGAATTCTGCAATGGCCTTCCAACAAGTTTGTATCTTGTCCCTCTATTTTAGCCTATCAACCCAGAAACCACTGTGACCCTTTAAAAACAGAAACTGGATAGTTGTCACTCCTTTTCAAAACCCTCCACTGACTTCCCAGCACATTGAGAATGAAAGGCAACGCCCTTTTGAGTTAACCCACAAGATGTCCCCATAATAAGAACCCTGATCTAGCTCTGATCTCATCATCTTCTGCAACTTGCAAGCCTGATACACTCCATCACACTGATCCCTCTGTCCCAAGCATGTGGCTATCCCCAAGCACAATTCTTTTCTATGGCCTCTGAATTGCCAAGGGTGCTGCTCTTCCCCACATTACAATATGGCCTTCTCGTGCAGTTCCTTTACATCTCTGCTCAACATCCCCTTAAATGAAAGGCTTTCCCTACCTACAACACAGCTCCACTAAATCCCACATTCCTTATCATCACCATGCTTCATTTTTCCTTCATTGCACTGACCACCATCTGAGATATATTTACTCATTTATCAGGTGTCTCAACGCCACATAGAATGTAAGCACCACAAAGGACAAATATATTGATTCACACTATAGGCTAAGGGCACAGAACAAGGTCTGACATAAAAGAAATACGGACTCTGAAGCCAGACACCAGGGCTCAAATCCAAGCACTGCTACATGCTAACAGATTGACCGCAGACAAGTCACCTTTACTTCCCTGCCTCAGATCTCTTAATATGCAAAATGAAGAAACTGATGGCACCTGCGTCTTAGGGCGTTTGTGAAAACTAATATAGTTCTTCAACACAAGAAGTCAGGGAAAGAAATGTTTAAATACATCTAAGATTTGAAATACAATTTAAAAACTTGTTTTAAAGAATTTAAAACTCCATAGCCAACAATTAAAAGCATAGCAGACTATATTCACACCTGTAGCAGTTATAAAAGCTCATTAATACCAGGTGAGCAGGTAATAGACAGCATTCAGCAGGTTGTAACAGACAGCATCCAGCAGGTTGCAGGAGAAACCTCCCCCACCACCAACAACAAAAAAAACGATTAAATAGAAAAAAATGAACTATCCAAAGCAGCTTAAACCCATAATCAGTTTTATTTTTTTTTTATGTAACAGGAAGCCTGGATATAACAAATCCATGGCTAGTGTAGACACTCAAAGAAGCCACTGGCTAAGCCAGAATCACTTGTGATTTTCTGTAGGATCCTCCCTAGGCTGTGGCTTGCATCCTCATGGTTGGTCACAAGATGGATCTTTTAACACTAGGTACTGGATCTCCTTGCAAGGTGAGAAGTAGAGGGAAGAGCAAAAAAACAAGACATGTGGGGAAGAGTCCAGGTAAGAATGACCTTTGTCAAGACCATTCTCAGTACCCATAGTAACATCTGCTTATTTGTCAATGTGTAACATGGACTGTACTAGTTGCAAGAAAACCTGATTTTTAAAATAGCACACCTTACTAGTCTGACAAAATCTGGGTTTTCTTGATATGGAAGATGAGCTACTAGGGAAGCAACTAAAAGTATATGTCACTCTTGGCTGGACAAGAAGCTGAGAACATCCCAAAGGATCCATCTAATGAAAACATCATGCTCTGATCACAATTCGTTTGAATTAGATACTTGTAACAAACAGGTACTAAAAATACCCACGTTACACAATACACAATAAGATTCTACAGGTCAAGTCACCCAAAATGAAATTAACATACTATCAAGAATGAAATAAAAATACTACATACAAACCTTTGTAATGTGGCCTAAAGGTAATTTAGAGCATAACCTTAAAAACAAAGGCTAAAAATTAATGAGGGTCTGTTTTCATTATGAAAAACTAACAAATGCAATTTAATATTCACTAGAAAATTCCGTTGAGGTGTGAATGAATTCTTATAAGCACGATTGAGGGGATGGTAGCTGAAATCATCTCCACACAGGGATTGTCTGCAGTGTGGGTTCTCACGTTTCCTAAAACTATTACATTGATTATAATTTTGAAGTTTTAAATAGAAATTTCTCCTAGTATGAGTACTCAAGTTTCATAAAAATTGAAAGGCTGTTATAAGCCAATGTTTCTCAACTTCTCATTATTTTGGGGTACATAATTCTTTGTTCTGGGGGCCTCCTATGCATTTTAGGATATTTAACAGCATCCTTGAAGTCTTCCAACTGCATGCAGTTGCACCTCCACTAAGTTTAACCACCAAAAATGTCTCCAGGTACTGCCAAATGTCCCCTGGGGAGCAAAACCATGCCCTGTTGAGAACTGCTGCTGTGCAAACAGGGTTTGACAAATTTTCTGTAACGGGCCAGGCAGTGAGTACTGTAGACTTTGTGGGACATACACGGTCTGTATCACACCTTTTTCTTCCTTAAAAATGTAAACTATTCTTAGCTTGTGGACTGTACAAAAAAAGCAGACAGCTGTCTGTAGCTTGCTGTCCCATTGACTTTTCCATGCTCCTTACTTTAGAGATGCTTCTCTTCTGCGGTATTTCTCTCATGAGGAATACAGTTAAGACCAGGAAATGTTGGCTTAGTCGTTGAATTTACAGAGTCTCCCTAGTGAGCTTACTTGTATGCCCAGAAGGTACAAGCTGGTGCTAAAGTCATTTCAACATTCCATACCAGTCCAAGGTTTCTCTCCCTAAATTCTCATGTTAAGAGCTGAATGTACAAATGGCTTCTCCACACCACAGTTATGTTTTCTCTCCCTGCGTGAGTTCTCACGAATCTCCAAAGTGATGGAAAAAAACTCATGTCTTCCCACAATCATTACACAAATTGTATTTCTCCCAAGTTACATGTATTCTTTTGTGTCCGTAAGATGAATTAATAAAGGCTTTCCTGCCTTTCTTACACTTACGAGGTTTCCTTCTAGTCTGAGTTCTCATGTTTCTTAAAGAGGTATCATTGAAGCCTTTTCCACACGGATGACACAAAGAGTTTCTCTCCCCGGTGAGTTTTCACATGACTCCGAAGAGATGAGTGATCACTGAAGGCTTTCCCACAGGCCGGGCATTCATAGGGCTTCTCACCAGTGTGTATTCTCCTATGGACGTTAAGGTTGGAGCCTATACTGAAGGCTTTCCCACAGTGATCACACTCATATGGCTTCTCTCCTGTGTGACTCCTCATGTGTGTCTTAAGGGTTGACTGGTTTCTGAAGGCTTTCCCACACTGTCTACATTCAACATGTTTCTTTACAAGATGAATACTCATGTGCCGCCTCCGGGATAAATAATCACCGAAGACTTTCCCACAGGCGGCACATTCATAGCGTCTCTCTTGAGTGTGTATTTTCCTGTGTGCAGTTAGGTTTGAGCTTGCACTGAAGGCTTTCCCACACAGATCACACCTGTATGGCTTCTCTCCAGTGTGAGAATTCATGTGTGTCTTAAGGATGGATTGGTTTCTGAATGTTTTCCCACACTGCCTACATTCAACAGGCTTCTTTACAATATGAATGCGCATGTGTTTTCTCCGGGACAAGAGATCACCAAAAGATTTCCCACATTCTTTACATTCGTATGTTTTCTGTACCATGTGGTTCTTCTTGTGCAAATTAAAGTTAGACTTCCATCGAAAGGCTTTCCCACACTGTGTGCATTCATAGGGTTTCTCTCCAGTGTGATTCCTGACGTGCTCTTTGAGATGTGAGGGATGCTGGAAAGCTTTCCCACAATCGTGACATTCATAGGGTCTCTCTCCAGTGTGTGTTCTTCTGTGTGCAATGAGGTGGCAGCTCCTGCCGTAGGCCTTCCCACATTCGTCACACTTGTAAGGTCTCTCCCCAGTGTGAACTCTCATGTGGATCTTCAGGGCTGAGAGGGTTCGGAATGCATTTCCACACTGACTACAGTCAAAGGGCTTCTCTGTGAGGTGAGTTCTTGCATGACTCCTGAGGGCTGATGGATCATTGAAAGCTTTCCCACAGGCATTGCATTCATAGGGTTTCTCCCCAGTATGTATTCTCCTGTGCCGCGTAAGGGAAGCACTTGTGGTGAAGGCTTTTTGGCACTGATGACATTCGTGCATTTTTCTCCCATTGTAAATGCTCACATGTTGGGTTATGTGCGACCTGTTCTTGAAAACTACCCCACAGTCTCTGCGGTGACAGGGCCTCTTGCTAGTGTGCCTTCCCATCTGCTGAGTAAGATGAGTGCCAATGCTGAAGACTTCTAACAGGTGAGCATATTCAGTGGATTTCTCTCCAAGGCGAGTTCTTTCCTGTTGATTAAGAGATGAGTGCTAAGACATTTCCCATATTCATTATATTCCTAAGAATTATTCCCACGTAAACTGACAAAAATTGAAGCACATCATTATTACGAATGATATCATAATTGAAAGTGCAAAAGTACTGCTTCTGCCCCATTGGGCTCTATCAAACAGAACAGTTAAATGCTATGCCCTAAGGCTCCATGTGTGTAACTCTACAAAGTTTTTTACATATACTTTAACCCTCCGTTGGGCGCAACTGATCTCACAGATTGTTTTTAATTTTTGTTGATTTTTATACTGAATTTATGTAATAAACATATATTGTTTTTACTTTGTGGCAAATTAAAATTTCATTCTGAATAAATAATAAGCATGCTTACATGTTTTTTTCATTCATTTTCAATTTAAATAATTAAATGTCAGACACGCATCTAGTAGATGCATTGTGCCCAAACTCGTAACTTTTACATTGCGCCCAATGAAGGGTTAACTGTTTAAATCTGAACTGAGCCTCAATACTCAACATTTGAGACAAAGTTATAGAAATGTTTACTCATCAGAATTCTAAGTGGAAAAGTCTGAAAATTTAGGGTTTTCCACTAAATTGGTAATATTCACTGTCTCTTGACACTGTTTCTTCTTGGGGAATGCCACTTGCCTGGTTCTTGGGCTGCTTTTCCAACTTAAGCCGCCCAGTCTTCTCCTAATATTGAAGATCTAGAATTATCCCAAGGAAGTCTTACCATTGCCACACCACTGGATGTTTCCTTCCCAAGAATATCTTCCATGAGAATGGACCATTTAGTTTTAGATGGAGTCTCCCAATCTGAAACAAATTGGAAAAAGATTTACTTGTTGAAAAAAGAAAATGGTGGGATAATGGTGACAAAAATAGGTGAATTAATTTGCAAATATAAACACTAAAGAAGGAAACATGATAGGAAAAGAGTAAAAATGACTGAAAATTTTGGCTGTGTGAGATGCTTGGCAATGAAGGGGTAGACATTTATGTCAACTCCCTAAACAATAATTCTTGAAAGACTGACATTGATAATGACAGAAAAAGTATGATCAGGAATGTTGAATGTGGAAGGATGGGAAAAAGTCCATGTGGACACGTCAAATCTAAAGGTGAAGAAATAGTGACACCAAAGGATCTGTGAGAGAACGGAGGAGCAGTGAAGGAGAATAACCATTTTCAAATTTCCCTTGGTGACATTCCTAGTGGATCTTCCTCCACCCCAATCACTGGCACAACCAATACTCAGAAGCACTTGTGTTTGCCTAGTGCTTACCGGGACAAGTGCCTCCATGAAGTCCCGTCTCCTCTGTCCTCAGCTCCTCTTCTTCTTCCAAGTGGGAGATGAGGCTGGGTTTGCCCACTTGACACCCTACTCACGGGGAAAGACACATGTTGAGGGAGGATCGTGCAGAGGACAGGTGTTCTGAAGTCAGAGTTCTGAAGATGGACAAGACTGACTTAGGAGCAGCAAAATGATGGAGACAAATTTCTAAGGGACACAGTGAAAGGCTTTCATAAAAAGCAAAACCACAAATACCCACATATTTTGCCCTTCAAAACATTTCTTAACTCAGAAGTTAAGGATTTCTTAACTCAGAAACATATGCCTAAGCTCAGGCATACTTGACAACTTCCAAGGTCAATGCAATAGAAAGGTCTCAATATCCATGGGGAGACACCAGGATGGTAGGTACCACGTCTACTTGTTGACAATTGTGTTCCAAATCCCCCACACAGTTCCTGGGTCATAGCAAGTACTTAAAACAAAAACATTAGGTTCGTGAATGAAGAAATGATGCCAGTATTACCCACTGAGGCGAGGTTGCTATAGTTCTCCAACATCACATCCTTGTACAGCTTTCTCTGAGAAGAATCCAGCAAGGGCCACTCCTTCTCAGTAAAGTCCACTGCAACATCCTGGAAAGTCACTGATTCCTGCAACACCACACACATTTGGGGTCAGTGAGAAACCAACCTGTGTTCAAATATGGCAGAGGCTGCAGACGGTATGAGAGATTCATAACACAGAATTTTCAGTATGGGGTTCTGGTGGCTCAACATTTATTCCAGAAGTTAGTCAGCAGTTGTCTTCTTTCCTGTGAGGTGATCTCATCCTGTCTCACTGCTTCAAAAGCAACTGACATGGGACTAAAATCTCTCTCCACTTCCAGCCTGGCCTGTGCAAGGCTGTATTATGACAGAAACACCTGATACGTACATTATTTCCCCTAACAACCCCAATACCAGGACAGCCTCACAACATTCTTTGGCTCTTTTATTGATCAGCCTGGATGAAGATCTAAAAAATTTTAACATGTGATAGTGGGCTGTTATAGGAAGTGCCTCTCCCACCCTCAGGGGCCCTAAGATCTTGGTGTACCTGGGAACTAGCATTAGTTGGCATATGAGGCTCCAGGCCATTACAAGCAAACAGGTCCACGTCCTGGTGACAGGAATGGTCTTTTGAAGAAAGAGGAATTTCTGAGTCCTGGATATGGGCAGGATCCTGCGTGGATATAGCTAGACAAGACAGGATCCATGAGAATTAAAGCCTACCTGACACTCACAAACCAGGAAACTACCTACGCTAAGTGTGCAGTGCACATCCCCAAACACACACACACACACACACACACACACACACACACACACACATACACACACACACACACACACACGTTTTATAACAAGCCAAAGCAGCCCTGCTCTAACTCAAGGACAGGAAAAAGGGAAGTGGGCCAATATATCCATAAACATAGTGATACTCTCAATTTATAAGTGAAGAAATGGAAGCTCTAAGAAGTAGAGCTTTACTTACTTTTGCTCAGATTTATCAAAATCATAAATGGGGTTACCCATACCTGTGCCCTGCCTTTCACACCAACTGTACACACTCCCTCACCCAAACTCACCAAGACCCTGAATCAGTCACCTGGAGGGCCTCCCAGGACTTTGCTCCCACTGCTTTCCAGTTCATTCATCCTCTCCTGACAGCCCTCCCTCTGGCCTTGCACACCTTTGATCTTGGTGAAGTGACAGGGGTCACTTTACTTTGCCGAGGGCATTCTTCACCCCAAGAACTTACCACATGTGGGAGAGAGACCAAGAGCTGCCATCCTATGAGAATGATAATGAATATGCCTGAACAACAGGGCACTGGCACCAGAGAGCTACTCTCTTGCTCTCATGGGACTCTGAGCAGGCATCTGTAGTAAATGAGAAAAAGACTATTAGGAGAAGTCAAAGGCTTTCTATCGCTCCTGCTCACAGGACAATTCTGACTTTTGCTTTCCAACATTTCCTTTTTTGAGCATCAAGTTCTGTCTGATCCCCAAACCTTCACCTTATTTAGGAAAAACTTCCAGGCAATGTGATAGAGAGCCCTGACCTGTCTCAAGGAAGATTCAGACTCATCCCCAAAGTAACCTGTCTCCAAGTACAACTCTGTTAAACCCCTCACTCATTACACACTTGGCCCCAGACTTCTGTTCTTCAGCTTCAAGGCTTGCCATGGTTTCGGATGCCTGTAGTAGCCACGAGGAAGGTCCAGCTGGAAACACATGTTCCAATCTCCACACTCCACACCAACATACACACCTGTGGCCCAATGAACAGGCCTTGTCACCACTACAATCAACTTTACTTTGCAGACAATGGTTTAGAAATCTGCTCTCTGGACAAAACTTCTACACAACATTCTTCTCACATGAACCCTTTCACTTTAGAGAGGATTCCAGGCCATCCATGCTTCTACATCTTGCTAACAGCAAATTCCTCTTCTTACTGCCCCACCTATCCAACTGAGATTCATCAAGGTCCATCACTTCTATTTATTTGTCCAAACTCCTTTAACCCTCTATTATAACCCAGAATGAGCAAAAACCCAGCCCTGGATGATTCCAACCATTTGGTTCCTCCCTGAAGGTACTTCTGGGAAGACCTGTATGCACAAAACAGGTAACCTTCAAAACTCAAAGTTGCTAACCCTAAAGGAGTATCCACACTAAAGAAAAGCACTCTAGGCAATCCAACCTTCCAATTTCCCAATAACCAGGTAAAAATCTCAACAGTTTTTTCTGAATAAAAAACTGTGTTACCATTACCCTTACTTTCAGCCAATATTCTTCTTTTTTTTTAAAGATTTTTATTGGGGAATTGGGGTATGGGAACAGCGCTGGAAAATTGAGGAAAGGGGAACAGACAAACTGCTGTCTTTTTGTTCTTTCAGTTTAGTTGTGGAGGATGTTGCTTCACTGGCCCAAGTTGGCACCATCATTGCGCTCTTCCCGGGCGAGGCAGATCAGTTGCCAGCTTCTGGACGGCCACTCACTGCGGCTGCTGGCCGCTCATGCTGGCTGCTGGCTACTCACGGTAGCCCATGGCAACCCACTGCAGCAGGGGCTGCAGCCTATGCCATCACTGGCGACTCACGGCAGCCCAGCTCCAAGTTGAGCTGTTGTTCAGCATCTTAGCTGTGGAGGGCAGCGTCACTGGCCCTCATATGTAGGATCCGAATTGGGGTCCTCTGTTTTCCCAAGCCAGTTCTTAACCAATGCGCCACTCGGCGGGCTCTCAGCAAATATTCTTATATTCATTACACAGCACTCACAGCCAGAAAAACGTACCTCAAGAAAGAACTGGAAAATGAAACTTAAAAAACAATTCCACATATGACAGCATAAAAATATATAAAATGTCTATGAATAAAAAGTTGTATAAGACCTTGACAATAGAAATTGTGAAATACTGCTGAAAGTTAAAGACCTAAATAAATGGGGAGGAATATCATCTATAGATACAACACAGTCACTAGCAAAATCCTGGCAGGCTTTTTTTCTGGAAATTGACTAGGCAAATTTAAAATGTGTATCAAAATACAAAAGATCTAGAAGAGCTAGCACAATGTTAAGACAGAAAAATTTGGATGATTCATACTAACTTTACCACAATAATGGAGAGTTACTGGAATAAGTATAGACTTATTATAGAATATGTCAGTGGAATAGAACTGTTAGAAATAAGTATGCAAGTGCACAAATAATTTTCAATAGGAAACAAAACAATTCAATAGTTTTAAAAATTTTTATTTTTAAATTATAGTTGACATGCGATATATTAGTTTCAAGGGTACAACATTGTGATTAGACATTTATATACCTTACGAAGAGATCACCCCAATAAATCTAGTACCCATCTTACACCATACACAGTTATCACAATGTTATTAACAAAACAAGAAAGCAGTCTTTTTAAACAATGGTGCTGAAATAGTCAGTGGGGGTTAAAAGGAATTTTTACTTCTATTATCACTGCATACACAAAAATTTGAATTTAAAAAATCTTTTTTGAGATGCATCAGACACCAAAAAATAAAATCCAAAGACTATTCTAATGACCTTGAGTTACACAACATTTTAGACTAGACACAAATAGAACCAGACATTAAAAATCTATTAAGTTGGGGCCAGCCGAGTGACGCAATGGTTTAGAACTGGCTTGGGATGCCAGAGGGCCCTGGTTCGGATCCCATATATGAGGACCAGTGACACTGCCCTCCACAGCTAAGATGCTGAACAACAGCTCAACCTGCAGCTGGGCTGCCGTGAGTCACCGGCGACAGCGTAGGCTGTAGCCCCTGTGGCAGTGGGTTGCCATGGGCTACCGTGTGTAGCCAGCAGCCACCGTGAGCGGCCGTTCAGAAGCAGGCGACTGATCTGCCTCGCCTGGGAAGAGCGCAATGATGGTGCCAACTTGGGCCAGTGAAGCAACGTCCTCCACAACTAGACTGAAGAACAAAACGACAGCAACTTGTCTGTTCCCCTTCCCTGAATTCCCCAGCACTGTTCCCATCCCCCCAATTCCCCAATAAAAATCTTAAAAAAAAATCTATTAAGTTGGACTTTACCAAAATTAAGAATTTTTAGTCGTCAAATAACATCATTAAGAAGATATGGTACTGGGGCTGGCCGAGTGGCTCAGTTGATTAAGAGTTAGCTTAAGAGCGCGAGCTCTGAGCAACAGGGCCGCTGGTTCGATTCCCACATGGGCCAGTGAGCTGCACCCGAGCTGAGCTGCCGCTGAGCTGTCAACAGCTGGCAGGATGGCTCAGCTGGTGAGAGCATGTGCTCCTAACAACAAGGTTGCCTGTTTGAGATAGCGGGCTATGCCCACCCGAAACTGAGACTGAACTCTGCACCCTGAGCTGAGCTGCCGCCCCAATGGCTCAGGGGATAGAGCGCGTGCTCTTAATAACAAGGTTGCTGGTTCAAGATGGTGGGCTATGCCCACCTGCAACTAATTGAACACAACACCTTGAGCTGAGCGGTGCGACTAGACTTGAAACTGAGCTTGCTGCGCCTTCTACAACTAAGATTGAAGGACAACTTGGTTGTTCCCCTTCCCCAATTCCCCAACACTTTTCCCTCCCCCAATTCTCCAATAAAATCTTTAAAAAAACCAACTCAACAGAAAACGCTAGACTTAGGCCTTCTTGAAATTTAATAACTAATATAATAAGTATGGCAAAAGGTACTTAATATCATTAGTCATTAGACAAATACAAATTAAAACAAATTAAATACAGATAAATACAAATTAAATGATATAGCATTTCAACCCACTGAAGTGGTCAAAATATAAAAAAGACCATCTACAATAAATGTCGGAAAGAATGTGGCATACCTTCAACTCTCATATACTGATGATGGGAATATGAAATGGTTCAACCACTTTAGAAAATAATTTACCAGTTTCTTAAATAGTACACCTACCATTTGACCAAAAATTTCCATGCCTAGGTATTTACCCAAGAGAAGTTTTTAAAAACATGCCCACAAAGACTCACACAAAAATGTTCAAAGCACTCTAATTCATAGTAGCCAAAAGTGTAAGCAATCTAAATATCCATCAACAAGAGAATAGACAAACAAATTTTGGTATGTACAATGGAATACTACTCAGCAGTAAAAAGAAACTACTAAGACACATGGCTGAATCTCTATAATGTTGGCTGAATCTCTATAATGTTGACCAACAGAAGCTAGACACAAAAAAATGCTCTATGATTCCAATTACATGATGTCCACAAATAGGCAAAACTTATTTAGGTCGATAGCAAAACTTGTTTAAGTTGATAGAAGTTAAAAAAAAAAATGCTTGCCTTGATGGAGGAGCCTAAGATGGGTACAGACTGAGAGAAGTGAGAGGGAACTTTCTGGGGCAACTGAAGTTTTCTACATTTTTATTTTATTTTTTTAGTGGTTACACAACATACGAAGAGTGATCAAACAATATGGTGAATGTTTAAATAAAATAAATTATAACAGAAGACACATTGCCATTAATCCCCCTCAAAATACTTTCCCTTGCTTCGAACACACTTATCCCATCATTCTTGCCACTTTCAAAGCAGTTCTGGAAGTCCTCTTTCATGAGTGTCTTTAGTTGTGGTGTTGTGTATGCCTTGATGTCATTTTGAATCATTTAGACTTTGGGGAAGAGCCGAAGTCGCACAATGCTATGTGAATGAGGACACATCGTAATATTTTTATTGAACATAAATTGTTGTATACCAGAAGCGATGTGTGACACGGAGCATTGTCATGATAGAGGATGATTTACAGCACACTTTTTTTTTTTAATTTTTTTTAGCTGAGCCATCCTGCCACCTGTTGGCAGCTCAGCGGCAGCTCAGCTTGGGCCGGGAATTGAACTGGCGACCCTGTTGCTCAGAGCTCACACTCTTGAGCGAGCTCTTAACCAACTGAGCCACTCGGCCGGCCTTACAGCACACTTTAAAACACACCTTCTGTCAACCGTAGCTCACACCCAACTGGCTGCACCAAACAAGTTGAAATTTGTCACATCTGTTCCTAAGGTTTGATGCACTGCTTCCCGTATTGAAGATCCCTACCTTTCCTATTGGACGGCACTTGGCAGCAGCATTCACTGTGTTTTATGATCACAACAGAAAGGCTCCGTGTCACACACTGCTTTTGGTACAGCAATTTCTGTCAAATGAAAACATGACGGTGTGTCCTCATCCACCTTATTCCCCAGATCTGGCACCGTGCAACTTCTGGCTCTTCCCCAAAGTCAAAATCACTATGAAAGGTAAACATTTTGAATCGATTCAGGATATTGAGGCAGCCACAACAGCTCAACTAAAGACACTCACAAAAGAGGACTTCCAGAACTGCTTCAGAAAGTGGCAAGAAAGATGGGATAAGTGTGTTCGAAGTGAAGGAGAGTATTTTAAGGGGGATTAATGGCAATGTGTCTTTTATTATATTTTTTTAATTTAAACATTCACCACAGTTTTTTTTATCATACCTAGTACACAACTTAAGATCTGTGCATTTTCTTGTAAGTTACACCTTAAAAATTTAAGAGGAATCTTCTTACTTTCTGGTCTCTACAAAAATTCCTCCCACAACTGATCTCCTTTTCTCCTATTACACACAAGGAGATGTCTGCCCTCCCTTCTAAAGCCAATTTCTTCACAGCAAATAAATAAGTAAATAAATTCAAAATGTTCAGAGAAAATAGGGGAATAAAAAATATTCAAATCAAAGGAAGCTAGAGAAAAAAGAATTTGAAAAAGATAACAAATTCAACAACCAAATATATTAACACATAATATATTAATGGGTTAAACACCTCAACTAAAATAGATACTCTCAAAATGGATTAAAAATAATCCAGTTACATGCTGTTTACAAGAGACATCTAACACATAAGAATATAACAAGACTGGAAATAAAAAGATATACAAGGCATGTTTTTTGAAAAAGCTGGTTTAAATATATTAACAGCAGACAGAATATATTAAGGCAAAAAGGCCCATAATTGAAAAGTATAATTCAAGAAAAAGCTGTATATACCTGTGTATATGTTGTGGCATAGCTTCAAAAACATGAAAAAAATTTAAAAGGACAGAACTCTAAGGAGAACGGATAAAGCCACTACCAGAGCTCTTACTAATATAGTTCGGGCAGATAATTAAATATACGCAGACTGAATAGGATGAGACAGTATTTCATAACTATAAAATCCAACCATACAAGCACAATGTGTTTCAGAAAATGGCATCAATCTCTGACCACAATGCAATAAAGTTAAGCAAACAATAACCAGAATATAACCAGAAAAATTTCAGAAGTGGAAATTAAAAGAGAAATTTTGAAATAATTCACATGCCAAGAAAGTCATAATATTCAATAATATTTAGAACTGAAAATATAATACAATACTACACACTGGACTTTGGGACGTGACAGATACTTAATGTAGAAAATTAGAAAAATATCCTAAAAAAAGTAAAGGGAAGAAAATCATACAAACAGAAGTTACAAAATAGAAAACACACAATATAAAGAGATTCAATCAAGTCAAAAGTCCTTGGAGAGGGCCGGCCAAGTGGCGTGTTGGTTAAGAACTGGCTTGGGATGCCAGAGGACCCCAGTTTGGATCCCACAGATGAGGGCCAGTGACACTGCCCTCCACAGCTAAGATGCTGAACAACAGCTCAACCTGGAGCTGGGCTGCCGTGAGTCGCCGGTGACGGCGTAGGTTGCAGTCCCCTGCTGCAGTGGATTGCCATGGGCTACCGTGTGCAGCCAGCAGCCAGCGTGAGCGGCCAGCAGCCGCAGTGAGTGGCTGTCCAGAAGCCGGTGACTGATCTGACTCGCCCGAGAAGAGCGCAATGATGGTGCCAGCTTGGGCCAGTGAAGCAACATCCTCCACAATTAGACTGAAGAACAAAACAACAGCAACTTGTTTGTCCCCCTCTCCCGATTCCCCAGCGCTGTTCCCCTCCCCCCAACTCCCCAATTTAAAAAAAAAAAGTCCTTGGAGAAAAACAAAATTGACAAAATTCTGGCAAGATTTTCTTTTTTTAAAAGGAACATATATGAGTAAATATAGGGGTGAAAAATGGATAACACTACAGATGTAGGAAGCATTAAAAATATAATAAGATCACATTATTAGTAACTTTCACTTTACAATTTAAACGTTAAATGGAATGAATAAATTCCTGAAGGAATTTTTCTTACCATAATGAAATAAAGAACTCAGATGCCCTATGGTTCTAAGGCAGTGGTTCTCAACCTTCCTAATGCTGCCACCCCTTAATACAGTTCCTCATGTTGTGGTGACCACCAACCATAAAATTATTTTCGTTGCTACTCTATAACTGTAATTTTGCTACTGTTATGAATCATAATGTAAATATCTGATATGCAGGATGTATTTTCATTGTTACAAATTGAACATAATTAAAGCATAGTGATTAATTACAAAAACAATATGTAATTATATATTGTGAAATACTTATTTCTAACTACAAATAAATGAAATTTTATCTTGAAGCCGGGTACTCATATGTGGGCGTATCTGCATGTGGGCGGACCCGCCTGGAGATGGATAGAGGAGTGGTATCTTGGTTCCTAAGACCATCGAAAATAGGTGTTTTCTGATGGTCTTCGGTGACCCCTGTGAAGGGGTCATTTGACTCCCAAAGGGGTCGCGACCCACAGGTTGAGAACCGCTGTTCTAAGGGAACTGAAACAACAGCTTTAAAAATTACCACAAAGAAAACTTCCGGCCTAAATGGGTTTTCCTGGTACAGCTCCCTTTACGGAATGAGTCATTCACTTCTAGGCAAAATACTCCAGTTTAGAAAACAGAGGGAACACCCCACCCCATTATATGAAGTTGGCATAAACCTTACGCAGAAAAGGAAAATTACAAGCCAATTTCACTCAAACATAGATCCAAATCACCAAACAAAATATTACCAAATGAAAGCCAAAAATGATACAGTAGTAAGTATCCTTTCCAGGTTAAGTTATTTATCAATGCATATTTAATGTAACATTAGAAAACTCCACTGGTATAATTCACCACACTATTAGACAAGAGCATATTATTCCCTCATTCATTCCTGGTACAAATAGTGCTATCACAGGCCAGACATTGTGTAAGGTGCTTGAAATACATCAACAAACAGATATCAAAGTAAATGCAAAAAAAAAAAAAATCACTTGTAAAAAGCCTACAGCTGGGATGGCCGAGTGGCACATTGGTTAGAAGTTGGCTTGGGACGCCAGCTCTGAGTAGCAGGGCCCCAGTTCAGATCCCACATGAGGGCCAGTGATGCTGCACCCTCTACAGCTAAAATGGTGAACAACAGCTTGACCTGGAGCTGGGCTGCTGTCAGTCACCGGCGACGGCATAGGCTGCAGCCTCTGCTGCAGTGGGCTGCCGTGCTACCATGAGTGGCTGGCAGCCGGCGTTGAGTGGCTGGCAGCCCCGAGTGCTGCCAAGAGCCGCCGTGAGCGGCCGTCCAGTGGCCAGCGACCAATCTGCCTCACCCGGGAAGAGCGCAATGATAATACCAACATGGGCCAGTGAAGCAACATCCTCCACAACTAGACTGAAGAACTGAAGAACAAAAGGACAGCAACTTGTCTGTTCCCCTTCCCCAATTCCCCAATAAAATATTTTTTTTAAAAAGCCTACAGCTGCTCATGATAAAAGAAAAAAACTTTCAAGCTTTTAAACTAGGAAAAGAAGGGAGCTTCCTAGACCTAATAAATACTATCAAAAAAAAAAAGAGAAAAAAGAAAAAGCCACCAGCAAGCATTAAAGTTAATTTCCTTTAAGGTCAAGAAACAAAAACAAAAACAGGACTGTCTCCTATCTAAACTCCATTCCATGCTACTGGAAGTCCCTAGCCAGTACTACAAAAAAGTAAATAATATAAAACATGTGCCAAACAAAATATATTTATATTTATTCATTCTATACAGATAAAATTGTCTATGAAGAACATCCAAAACACTACACAGCTCCAGCCGCAGTGTTGTACTGTGGGAAAGAGAGATGGATTTGTAAACCCCAGAGCGAGGTTCTGCATACCTGAGGCCACTGCTGTGTAGAGACCCTGGGTGAAGTCACTGTCACTATGTCTGACCAGGAGGTAAAACCTTCAGCTGAGGACTTGGGGGATAAGAAGGAAGGAGAATACATTAAACTCAAAGTCATTGGACAGGATAACAGTGAGATTCACTTCAAAGTGAACACATCTCAAGAAACTCAAAGAATCATACTGTCAAAGACAGGGAGTTCCAATGAATTCACTCAGGTTTCTCTTTGAAGGTCAGAGAATTGCTGATAATCACACTCCAAAAGAGCTGGGAATGGAGGAAGAAGATGTGATTGAAGTTTATCAGGAACAAAGGGGGGGGGGTTGAACAGGTCATTCAACATTTTAGATATTTTTCTTTTCTTTTCCCTCAATCTCTTTTTATTTTAAAAATAGTTCTTTTGTAATGTGGTATTCAAAACAGAGTTGAAAACTGGCACCCCATCTCTTTAAAACATCTGGTAATTTAAATTCTAGTGCCCACTGTTCATTACTGTTTGTTTTCATTGTGCTGATTTTTGGTGATCAACCCCATCTCTTTAAAACATCTGGTAATTTAAATTCTAGTGCCCACTGTTCATTACTGTTTGTTTTCATTGTGCTGATTTTTGGTGATCAACCCCATCTCTTTAAAACATCTGGTAATTTAAATTCTAGTGCCCACTGTTCATTACTGTTTGTTTTCATTGTGCTGGTTTTTGGTGATCAAACCTCTCCCCCCCACACACACAATACTGCCCTCTCCTTTTTATTTTTAGTTTTTTAAAACTTTTGGAACACTTCATGAATTTGCGTGTCATCCTTGTGCAGGGGCCATGCTAATCTTCTCTGTATTGTTCCAATTTTAGTATATGTGCTGCCGAAGCGAGCACTGCCCTCTCCTTTTTAAATATTATGTGTGTGCACAGAGAGGCCACCTTTTTCAGGACTGTGTATTTTCAGGCTTGTGATAAATAAGATCAACCAATACAAGTGTTCATAATGACTTTCTAATTGGCCCTGAAGTTCTAGCATATGATTGCTTCACTCCTGGACTGTGACTTTCAGTGGTAGATGGAAGTTTTTCAGAGAACTGAACTGTGGACAAATGACCTTTCATTAACTTGAAGCTACTTTTAAAATCTGAGGGTTTGGACCAAAAGAAGAGTAATATCAGGTTGGAGTTAAGATGACAGATGTGGCGAGAGTGAAGACTAACTCCAAAGATGGTTTCCCTGAAGAAAAAGCATTTTAAGAGTAAAGAAGAACCTTGTCAGAAGATCCCAGAAAAGTTCTAATTTCATTAGCAGTTAATAAAGTTATTAATGCAGAAGTGTGTACAACAGAACACTGTTCTTTTTTATTTTATTTGTACTTTTTGGCCTGGGATATGGGTTTTAAATGGATTTTAAATTGTCTGTACCAGCTTAATTAAAATAAACAAAATATTTGTTAAAAAACAACAACACTACACAAAAACTAAGAGAATTATATACTTTTGTACGCTTGTGGAACCCAAATTCAATATACAAAATTGTTAGGAAAAAAATATTTCAAAGCACTCCCCCCCCCAAAAAAAAAATTCCCAGGCATAAATCTAACAACAAAAAAAACTTTAAATCTTTTTTATTGGTACTCATAAAACTTTATTAAAAACACAGGTGTAAATAGATATAATTTAATTTTAAGATTCGATGACATAATAATGCCAATATTCTCAAAATTAATATTCAACACAACCTGAAAACAAAACTCCAGTAGGTGAAACTTTGTAAACTGATTCTAAAATTTAAGCCACAAGGTACCTAAAATAATGGGTAGGTGTATGAATTTCATCTACAAGATATTTAGAATTCTCTAAATTAAAATGTGTAGTTGCATCAATATGGAAAAAAGGATCTGTCCGAAAACACCAAAGAGTGTGAGTCTATGCACAAATAATTACCAAAATTAGGAAATACATTTTTAGGAAAACATATAAGCAGTAACAATCATAAAGAAAATCTTGGGAGAAAAGCAGGATGCACTTGAGGAGCTCACAGGTTTCTGAGGTTTCATAATCTTTTCTTGGCCTGGTTTGTGGATTTGCTTTATCAGTGTCCTTAAAAGTTTGTGTGCATGTGTGCGTGCGTGTGCGTGTGTGTGTTTTCAAACTTTTTTTGCACGTGTCCTATAGAAAAAGGATAAACAGAATGCACCAAATAAGATGGTAAAAATCAAAGCAAAATATTAGTAATCATAATAAATATCAACAGACTCTCAAACAACAATGTTGAAGTGAATTTTTAAATCTAGTTGTAGGCTGTTTATACGAGAATCAAGTAAAGTTAATAAAATAAAAATAGACAAGTGCACCAAAAAGTATAAAAGGTATTCAAAACAAATGCTGCCAAAAAGAAAACTAGTGTGCCTATATGAATATTACACAAAAATTGACCACAAGAGGAAACTGACCAGAAGAAGAGCAAAAGGAAGGTAGTTTATCCTGCGGTCTCCAATTTCTGAGCCTCCAAAATGTTCTGAACTCCTTCAGTCGGGCTTTTCCGTCTCCACCCCAAGATGTCAGGTTTTTTTTACCAGACCACCAGTGCCTGCCCCACGTTGCTAAATACAGTAGTCCTAAATTTCAGCCCTCAAGTCACACTCCTCGCCTGTCCCAGCTCCCCGTCCTGCCTAATTTCTCCCCGCCTTGTGGGCCTCTGGAGTCCTCAGGAAGGCGGGGGGTAAAGGGTTAAATGAGGAAAGCGGAGCTTACCCGACTGAGGAAAAAACTGGAGGAAGCAGAGGTCACGGAAGCTGCCACCCAAAGGACGAAAAGTTGAAAGAGAAGGTGCAGTCTGCCGAGGGGAGGTGGAGGGTCCCCAACAGCTTCGCGGAAACCACAGCAGAGATCTCGCCCAATCTGTATAGCGGAGATCCCAGCCCCAAAGCAATGGCTTCCGCCTCACGTCCGCCTTCTAAATCTCGCGGGACTTCATTGACAGACGTAACCCGGAAATGTTGAGCGCAAAGGATTCTTGGAAATGTAGTTCTTGCGCTTAGAGGGGTATGATGGAGGTACCTAGGTGGATTCTGACCATCAGCTCATTTCCCCAACTTTTAATTGTTTGACTGTCTTGGGACTCAGTTCTCTGTCCTCTGGCTTCTTTTCCTCTTATAATCATTCTCTCTGTGGTAGCAGCGAATCTCACTGCTTTAAGTACTGTTTATACTGTGAACAAAAAAGGAGCCACGTGCTAAAACCTCATAAGCTCAGAGGGGCCAGCATGGGAGGCCCTACAAATTCAGAGACCGAAATTAACCACATAGGATGGTCTGAACATAAAAGTGGGTCATGGTGGATAGTCACAGCCTAGTCATGTAACTTCCTTGACAAAGGTCAAGCTTTACCTTGAGTGAGCCTGACTATTGCCGTTTTGCACTTAAGATAACATACCCTTGGACTGTCAATGCATTTCATGTAATCTACTTATGTCTCCTTGTTTGATTCGAATGTATAAAATGAGCTGCACAATTGCCATTCTCCAGAGCAGTTTCTTAATCTGTTGAGATTTTGCTTCCCAGCAATTGTTGACAGTTTGGCTCAAATAAACTCATTAAAGTTCTTTACAGGTTTGGACATTTCTTACATCCACAATATACTCAAGACTGAAATATCCATCCACAGCCCCACACATTTACCCTGAATTCCAGATAGAATGAGACATTCTCTCTCCACTTGGATATTTTATAATGTCAACATAAGAAATGTACAAACCTGTAGAAAAGTTGTATAAAAGTTTTTTTGACCTAAATTGATGACATATGCTGGGGAGCAAGAACTTAACTACTCCGAGAATAACAGTTTAGCAGCTTCTTTTATGCATTTGAAATTAAGGAGGGGACAAAAGGAAGGTTGGAGAAAGCAAGACATGGATTGGATTACAGGATAGTTAACAAGATTATGTGCTCTCTTGAGGTTTAATACCCCCTTTCTGGCATTTCAAAGGTGTGTTAACCTAGATCCACAAAAACAATGGACAGGGCTGGCTTAAAACCTTTCTGTAAAGAATTAAAGACCTGAAGTGTAACTCCCCACCATGACCTGCCCAGTTAGGAATTTATGATCAGATCACCCTGTGAGGTTATTCTCCAGAGAACCCATTTTTTCATCCATAATGCACACTTTAAAATGCCACAAATCAAACTTCTGACTTCGCCTTCTCAAACGCAAATATTGGGTTGTCGGAAAAGTCATGACGCATTTTTGCAACGAAAAACAGAAAAATACATCATGACTTTTCTGACAACCCAGTAACAGCAACCCCATCTTTCCACTTATAAACCTTGGCGACATCCTCAACCCTTTTGCTTGTCCCATCGATCCATCGGGGAACATTTAGTTTTACCTTGACTGGCAACCCAGAACCTGGTCACTTTGCCAGAAATGTTTTCCATGATCCTGTGTCAAGAGAGGTCATGGCGGGACTCAGAATAATCGGGATTAGTGTTTTGTGGTGCTTTTTTACAATACCTGAGCTAGAAAGCTAGGAGGCACAGCATCCAGGTGAGGGCTTTTATCTGGGTGAGGGAGCAGTTAGTGCAAAGAGAAGTTCTAATACAAGTCCTAATCCTAACTCCACCAAGGTGGGCATCTTGAGTAAATTGCCTGTTTTTCCTTCTGTAAAAATCAACCACTTCCTAAAGTTGTTGCAAGACTCAAATGGGGAACATAAGCAACTCTGATTACTGCTCAGCAGATACAGGAAGGAGGTAAAAAAAAAAAAGCCTAGTGTAGAGAGGTGAGCAAAGATGGAAAGACCTGGGCAGGAGGTGCCTTGGGTTTAGGCCGGGGAAACCCCAGAAGAGGTTAAGGATAGGATAATCAAGACCTGGAGCCCAGGACAGAGGAGGAAGAAAGGGAAAAGATTAATTAGGATTCAGGCAGTACCTGGGGAAATTGGGTAGTTAAAATTATTTTAAAATGCTGGGTCAGGATCAGAGCTTGTCTTATCAATGCTGAATCCCAGTAAGCTTACATGAAGGACTAATTAATGGAATGAATAAAGGGGGGAAATATCACTCATTTGACCCTTCAAAATTAAGAGAAGGAAAATTCTGCAATACTCCCCAAACAGTGGAAAGTATTATTAAGGTAAACAATACCTCGGAAGATTGGGAAACCTTGTGGCCATCCTGTTTCTATATAAATAATTATTGTAGGGAGATAAAATACTGATGAGTTAATATTGGTGAATATCTCACCCCACCCTTGTAAATGGCTTTTAATCAGTCATTCGCCTTGCCTAGAAAAGCTAGAAAGAGATAAAGTAGACTTATTTTTTTAATTACTTGCTTAATTACAACAAACATACAAAAAGTCCACAAATAAATTTTTAAAGTAAATTTATAAATCATAAAAAGGGCACATGCCTATGAAAAGTTGATGGAAGTAGAACCATTTTAAAATGGAACCGGGGCCGGCTGAGTGGTATGTTGGTTAGGAGTTGGCTTGGGATGCCAGCTCTGAGCAGCAGGGCCCCGGTTCGGATCCCATATGACAGCCAGTGACATTATGCCCTCTACAGCTAAGGTGGTGAAAACAGCTCAACCTGGAGCTGGGCTGCCATGAGTCGCCAGTGGCGACCGCATAGGCTGCAGTGGGGCTGGCTGGCAGCGGGTGTGAGCTTTCGTGAGCCGCCGTGAGCTGCTGTGAGCCACCGTCCAATGACCTGCGAGCCACTACCTCACCCGGAAAGAGCGCAATGATAATACCAACATGGGCCAGTGAAGCGACGTTCTCCACAACGAGACTGAAGAACAAAAAAGGATAGCAACTTGTCTGTTCCCCTTCCCCAATTCCCCAATGCTGTTCCCCTCCCCCAATTCCTCAATAAAATCTTAATAAAATGGAACCAGAGCAACTATTCTAGAGGAACTACCTTGAACATCTTGCTCCTTGAACCTTTGGAATATTTGAACTGGGCAAAATAGCCTCCAGACTGGGCCATAGCCACAAAGTCTTCCGAACAACTGTTTGTAAAGCTAACAGAAAAGCAGACATCCTGATCACAAGGACTACGATTATGGAGATACTTTATTTTTATTTATTCTATTTTTTTATTTTTTTAATAAACGAGTAATGTAAACAGAAATAGTCTCAGAGACACAGAGGAAAAACTGATGGTTGCTAGATGGGATGGGATGGGGTGGGGATGAGGGAGAAGGGGAAGGGATGAGACAACATAAATTGGCAACCTCAATATTGCCTCATAGAAAAGACAGTTTGGGGAATATAAAAGACAGTTTGGGGAATATAATCAATGATGTAAATACTTTTTAGGGGGCCAGATGGACTCCTGTCTTGTTAGGGATATCACTTCATGGACGGTGTAGATGCCTGACCACTGCACTGTACATCTGAAGCTGCCATTGAATAATATTATATGTCAACTATAATTTGATACATATACAGCCATGGAATGAGGAGTATAGTGTGAGAATGAGGTCAATGGAATTGTAATAGATATGTATGATATCGGGGGTTGGGGGCAGTGGATGGAGGGAGGGGGATTGTCACTTTGTGAGGGATGAAAAGGATAACTATTGCATTGTTCTGTACACCTGAAACTAACAATAAAACAAAATTAATACATAAAAATAAAAAATAAAAAATAGTTAAATTAAAAAAAAAATAGAGTTAACCGGCTCCACATGTGAACAGTGCTGAGGTGGGAGAAACGGGACGGTAAAATCACTGCCCGCCTTTTCTTTAATAAATGACCAGGGTTTTAGGGGCTGGGCAAAATGTCTGAAAACCAAATTCCTTCTGAGGTACAGAAAACGAGCAGGCTCAGAGGATTTTTAAAATGCATCTTGATTTTCCCTTGGAATTATTGATCAATACTCATTTGCTTGTTACCTCTGGCACCCCAGAGGAATGTCTCTTAGGAAGACAGGGAAGCTAGAAGCAACCCAATGACTGTATGGATTGCAGCCAGGTCTCCCATCACCTGGAAGGCCCAGAAAAGGTTATGTAACTACAGTGCATTGCTATCAAAGTAGACTTTAATGCAAAAACACGCCCAGAGATAACAAAGATAACTTCATAGACATAAAATATTCAAAATACCAGGAAGATATAACAATCCTGAATTTGTATTTAGTAGTCCACTGATTGAACTACAAGCAGAAATAGACAAATTCAATCACACTCTGGATGATTTTAACATATGAGTATATCACTCCATGATTGATACAAGAAGACCAAAAAAAAATCAGATTTACACATAGTTAACAAATTTGACCCATTGGACAGATATAGAAATGCACTCAATTTACAGAATTACACAATTATCAAAATACACATTTATCTTTCAGCACAAATAGACTATGTACTAAGTTTGACCAGAAGTGATGCATAAGGTAAGTTTCAATAGATTTCAAAGCATTAAAATCATACAGAGTATGTTTTGTGGTCACAACGCAACTATACTAGAAATGGAGACCCTTTATATATTTGGGCATTAAGAAATGCACTTCTGTATAACACATGAATTAAGTAAAACAAATCTCAATTGACTTATTTCAAATATATTTCCCCATATAGATTCCAGCAGAAATGAGAACAAAATAAAAAGAAAGATGAAGATGACTCAAAGGGAAGAATGTGAATTGAGAATTGATATAATCAATATATTAACGTGGAAGCAAATAAGTGTTCACTACAAGTTTACTAACACATAGATTGTACGCCTGATAATTTTTATTCTCCCCCCAGCTTTGAGATACAATTGACTTTTTAAACACCCAATAATTATTCATTAAATTTTACTAGTGCTTAATACACATTATATATTAAATTATCTCATATATCCCAATGTATGAGATATATTCCCAATATCACTATTAAGTGTTTAATATTACTCTGCCCATTTTGTAGATGCCAAACT